TGTGTGCATGGCTGTCTGTGTCACATGTCACTGCCATGAAACATGAGCAATCGAGGATTGGTTCGACATGTCAGAAGATGCGGCCTGGCGGACATCCGAGGGCCCGACTCCTTTCAAAACCAAAGCATCCCCGCTGCACGATATACCTGGGCTTTCAAGTCCTAGTCGTGCTTTGGTCGTCTCAGCGCACACGTGGCATATAGGGTGTCTCAGACGCAAGTACACATGGGTCCTTGTGGTATGCATATACGATGCATGCGCGGTTCATCCTTGCGGAAATGTTCGAGGTGTGGAAAAGACTTTGTGGTCTCAGGGCTCATTGCTTTGTGCAAGATGAAGCTGGTTCCTGGTCGAGCGTTGCCAAGCCAGTTAAATGTGGCCTACGGGGACTTTATCAAGTGGTGCTCGCAGAATGGAAAATCCACAAACATAAGGTCATTCTGCAAGTCAGCTTTCAAGCTGGGGTGGCTTCATTGCAACTGCTGGTTCATGGGGTTGTAGACTATATAAACCCTGTAAGTTAACATACACCCTATAAGGCCCTAATTAACATCATCTATAGCTTGTGCTTCCTGCAGAGCCTAGGCCATCGGGGCAGGAGTTTCCATCAGCTACCGGTGGTAGGGGGGCCGACACGGCCCTCATGACTTCTTGGTTGGAAGACTACCTGGGAAGATTTGTAACTAGACGGCAAACAGCTTCTCCTAATACTAGCTGCTACAATTAGGCCTGCTGGCAGCTTCATTGTATGTCAATTGTATGCATGCATACCTAGGACTGCTCCGATGATCTTTTCGCCATGCTGGTATACGCAGTCAAATGCACGAATGTGTACTTCCGGATTCTCCACTATGAAGGCTTATGGCTGGATCCTGCAACATGCTTGGCAGCGGGGCGAGCTTGTCACGAAGTGACTGTCCCCTGGTTCCATGAGACGAGAGAGTAGTAGTTGGCTGTTGCTGTCATCCCCAGGCAGGCTATGTTTCCCTGGCTCGGGCATGCTTCCAACGGGGCTGGAGCCTCTACCGGGTGAGGCCGAAGGTGCACCTACAAGAACATTTCTCGCTGCCTGAATGCATGCAGTTCTCAAGGAGTTGCTTATGCACATCCACAAGCATGTTGTGCCCAGAAAGCACCTTCTGGCATGTGGTCGCGATGGTGTATATTGCCTAAACCCCCTCAGTGCTGGTCTTAGACTTTGAATGCAGCGGTACCACAGAGTATGTGCATGCTATCATTGCTCTGCACTGAGACGCCGCTTGTTGGAGCGACGAGGACTTCGTGGGACGTGTGGCGCGTCTGGCTAGAAGATCAGGGACGCATGCATTAAGTTGCAGTTTTCGCACAATTCAAAAGATCCTCGGGGGCTACAAAGGCCAATTTGTCAAACAGGACGCTGAGAGGCTGCAGCGCTGAAAAATCTGGGTGCCCGGCTGATGATCTTCTCAGAGATGTCATAGAGCATCATTCACATCAGTTAGATCATATTAGTGTCTGGATGCAAGTCGCTGCAAAGGGGCATTTGTTTGGAAAGCGTGCCGTTTTCTTGGAATCGAGCGCTTTTGTTCCAAAGCGTTCGATTTTCACTAAACCCCAGCATCCCGAACAGAAAACAACCCCGGGCAAGAATTACTTATACAACGGATGGTCCAGGACTACTACTACTACTACTGCTACTACTACTACTACTACTGCTACTACTACTACTACTACGACGATTACTACGACTACTACTGCCGCTACTGCTACTACTTCCATTCGCACTGCAACTGCTGGTGCTACTACTACCGTTGCTGCTATGACGACGACGGCAACTGGTACCACTACCACCATTGCTAAAGCTGCTACGACTGCCCCTGCTCCTATTCAGACTTATCAACATTCAGACGTGGCACAGGTTTACTTCATTGAACTACGTGATTAGCTGGAAATGCTCTAGCATGTGAACAAGCGGAAATGCTGTAATTAACAAGATCTCCACGACGGAGCTTCTGAGGACTCAGAACTGCTGCAATTCTTTTGTTGCGTGGGAATAGCCAACACTGCACTAGTTTATAACATTTGCTCGCCTGTCAGCCACTAAAAATGGTGGAAATGCTGTAGCTAACAACATTGGAAGCTTTTCAATTTTTTCAACTATTGATTCGGTATGTTTATTTGTTTTTTGATCCTTTTTAGTTTTTTTCAACAGCTCTGCAGTTCCTGGGTTTTAGCTTTTTGTATGAAAGCCTTGGAAAGCTTGACATGTTTGCATCGAAGAGTTGAGATGCACCGGGACAACCAAGGGACAACTGAGTTCGGTTCACCGGTGCAAACGACATCAAAAACGATGATACCGTGTGACGTTACGGAGTAGAGACTCCAGCAAGGCAAAACAAGCTGAGGTTTTCAGGGCCACTGCACTGTGTGGTGAGGCATAGACTGCAGCGCTCTGACATGCGAATAGCAGTGGGCACCACCACGAATCTTTCGTGTCTTTTCTAGGTTGCGTTGGTCCTGCGCAAATGTCGGAGGCCGGAGATCATGGATGCTTTGAAGGCAGGCCAAGCAGACCGACAGCTCTCGCATGTTTTGGTTCAGGCTTGAAGTGCTTTGCAGGACGAGTTGGAAGAAGAAGTAAGACAAGATTTGCAGAAGGAGCTCAGTGTCGAGCTGGGTATTGAGGCAGGGGGGGGGTCGTCCGGCCTGCACGGTCAGCTTCCAGTGGCGATTCGGCTGCAGACATTTTGAAATTGGGTGTTGAGCATCACTGTCTAAACGCTGGGTCTGATCATTGTGGCAAACCGTGTCAGGTCAATGTCGACGAGGTTGGTCAAGGCCGGCTTTCCAGCCAACAGCTGCCTTGCAGGCCAATCAATGTGTGAGCCAGATTCTGTTCTGCTTTCACTTTCCGTGTGCTTGACAGATGAGCCCGGCGTCGATGAGGATGAAGAGGACGCCTGCGACGATGACGAAGAGGCGCTCGTGACGTGCACGTGAGATTCTATGTGTTGGGCAGCCGCGTGGGCAGTGTCAGGTGAATGACGAGGACCGCCGTTCGGAAATGAAGCGCTTTCAAAGACTCAAGTTATTGGAGTGGGGCAGCCTCTCCCCCGCCGATTGCTCGGAATGCACCGATGGCAGAAGGTTACAGCAAAAACTTGGGTGTCTGCCAGAACATCAACGAGACGACCATCCCATCACCCAGAAACAGATCAGATGCACGGCCGCATCGGCGGCTATGGGCAGGGACAGAAAATCCATGCACGGAAGGAAAAAAGGGAAAGGTCCGCAGCAGATATCAAAGGCAACCGAGTCGACAGTCCGAGCTCACGGAAGCTGCTAGCACAGGATATTGACATTTCAGATTTGAGATGCGACTGCTGTCTATTGTATGCATAGAGCCTTCAATTTAAGGACAACCGTAGCCAGAAGTTTTCTGATTCATATGCCAGCTTCACAACAGGTTTCTGCAGGCTGATTTGGACGACCCGGTCGATGGTCGATGTCACTGTTGGCATTATATAGAATGGTAACATACCAGTGCTAATCTATCCATTGTGTCAGGTAATGAAACTTGGCCGGTACAGTCTCCCTATCTGAACTTTAAGGCAGCTAGTGTCTTGTCACACTCAAAAACTACCTGGGCCTCGATTGGCCCGGGAGTTTCCGGAAAGCGCGGATCAAATCAAATGTCATGTGTGCAGCCGAAGAGTTTCATCGCCTTCTCCGTGGCGCTTTTGTGGCAAAGCTGTTATAAGTCGGAGAGAATTTACCAGGCAGCAACCCCTGAGTCGGTCAGCCCCAGAGCTGCTAGACTAGCCTGATGCCAAAGGCACCCCTTCACTCTGCGAATGTTATTTAAATTAACATCATCCAGAGCATATGCAGAAGGAGGTGAAGGAAGTAGAATCGGCAGCCGCAAGCGCTTGCAGACATGCATCATGCGGTGTTTCCAGAGGGTCATTCAGGAGACTGCAGCTCATGCTTCTGTGGCGATCGCGGAGATTTGGAGCCTCGTCCTGCACTATGAAGACAGAGTGCAGGGTACTGCTCAACATGCTCAACCAAGCCATGTCGGCAGTCCAGGTCGCAGTATGACGGGCTGCCCACCGAGATTCGACAAGAAATCCAAGAAGAGGTCGAAAAACGGTTAAGGACCTTTTGCACCCTCTTTGTGCAAGAGCATAAACAGTTGGTCGGAAGATGTCATGCCGTGCTGCATACCTTGCAGGAGAGACCTGAAGCCGGAAGTGATCCAGGATTGGCTGCACTGACTTGCAGCTGTAAGTCGTTCATGCCGTTCGTACTTCGATATCATGGTGATCGTTATGATGCTTAAGCAGGGGAATTGTGGGCGCTGGTTTGTGTATATATACGAGCACAAAGGTTAACCATCCTTAGTGCATCTTCGGTCCTGGCGAGTCGAAGGTCTCCTCTCTAGACTCTAAACCTGGATCCTCCTCCCCGATCAGAACTTTGGAGGCGCGTCACTCCAAGTGCCAGCCATCGCCCTCTTCAATTTGCCTAAATCCGATTCGACGAAGATGTCTTGGAAGGAGCTCTCCCCTCAAGGTCTGGATCAAAGCGATGGTATTCTCGCGACGGGTCTGTGTACATTGCAAGCGGTGTCATTGCGAGGTCGCTAGATGGAAGCCTGACGAGTCTAACAGCGTCCTATCGGAACATAGCTCGACACCTGGGCTGGGGGACGTCGACTGCGGAGAGGATCACTTGCAAACAACTGCAAAACGTCCCATGTGACATCCACATGCCATGGCCTGTGACAATCTCTGAGCCAAGCCCTACACCCGAAACTGCCGACGGGAAGCCCAAACCCAAATCCCAAACCCCGAGGTCTCGAGACCGGAGACCCGAAACCTCAGGCAGATAGGGAGATGTCAGAATTTGAGGCTTCTGACAAATCACTCGGGCCCAGTGTTGGCTCTTCTTCGGAAGGACCTTCAAGATGAGCTCGAGGAGGAAGCGCAGGAGGCCTTGATGGAGGAGCTCGAGGCGAGATCGCCGATACTGCAAGAACCTTTGCCAAGCAAAGTGCACCGGGCGAAAGAGCCTGAGCACCATCTTCTAAGTGCCAGGACGAGGCACGCTTCGAGCTTCGCGAAGAGCTGGAGGAGGATCTCGTGCTTTCTGCAGGGTGTATGTAGGTGACAAGCGCATGTCAGCCAGGAAGTGCGCAACGACCTCCTTTGGGATGGTTGATTCTGGCACGTGATCGGAGAAAAGTGTTGCTTCACAAGATCTCATGCACAAGCTCTGCATGACGACTAAGTGTAACAACACGACCGAGGCTGCTGCAACACACTGCTGTCGGGAGATTCTGCAGAGCAGGCCTAGTGCCGGGATCCCAGTGGAGGGGAGGGGAATGTTCGTCAGCTATGAAGCCTTCAGCTGGACCATGCCATGCAAGGATCTGAGCACGTCCAGTGACAGAGACAGAACTCTCAGGCTTCCTCCCAGGGCGTTGAATTGAAAGGTCAGTAATTCAGTTTTTGCGCTCTGCATTTAGTGCCAACGCTACGCCGCCCTCCTCGGCCTGACTAGCTGCCTTCAGCTCAGGGACTGAGTCTCGAAATTGGACCCCCCGAAGCGGGTGTCACTGGACTTTTGGGCGGAGCCGGATTCGGTGGTGGGTACTAAGTATCGGATTCATATTGCTTGTCTGTGTTTAACTGTTTGGGATAGCCCATGCGAGCCAAGAAGTTTGACTGGTTAGAAGTAGTACCAGCACTGTGACACAACCCACTCTGTGTGAAGGGGGGAGGGGGGGACGGGAGGGAACTGTCGGGGAGCAGAAAACTGTCGGAAACGGACCAGGGGTGGACATCATGGGCCAACAACGGGTGTCACGAAACTTTTGGGCTGCAGGGAGGGTTAGGTGGGGGGGGGGTACCGAGTTTAACCCTTAGAATCCTGAGGCCTGTGGCCTCGGCGGATATTTAGGTCTGCACATGTTTCTGAACTGTGCATTGAAGTCGACTGCCGTCTTGACACTCCACGGTTGCGTTCTTTGCCCCCTGAAGCTGCTCACGATATGACAGGCACAAGATCGAGGAGAGGCTGCGTTCATCTTTCGCCGATGTGAGCGGAAGGAGCGACTGCAAGGGCTGATGGACTTCCTCACGCATACGTTTCCTGAGGCCAGATGTGTACTGCAGAGAAGTTGACGGCATGGGTGTGGTTCTGAGGGAGTCTCGGCTGGTGTTCTGGCCTCACCCTACTGTAGTGTGTGTTGGCCTTTTGCCGAGGCTTGCCAATGCAAGCAAATCAGAGTGAAGTGCCCTCTGCTAGCTTGCTTTACACATGCCCCACCGATACATGCGGATGACAGGTGAGGTCGACCTACATCGCTTTGCTCTTCGTCCGGGTGAGCATCGTAGGCGGCTTCCCTGCTTGCCAGTAGCACGGGTGGCTGATGTCACGGTTGCTTAAGCCTGCCAAGAAGTACAACTGCTCACCAGCATGCTCGGGCCAAGAGTTATCAAGAAACTAGATGGCGGATTCATGTGCAAGCGAAATCTTATACAGCACTTTAGAGTCCGAGATTGCCCCATGCCCAAGAGAAGCAAACAGTTCGTTTTGTAGCATACTCCAGGATTTCAAGTGACAGCTGCTTGAAAGTTCTCATGGGCAATGTCGGTTTCGAGGAAGACATCTGTGATGCCAACTCTGAACACCAGCTGATGCAAGCTGGATTTTCTTCGCGTGGTACGCGGGGTAGAGTCCACAGGCGGAGCCACGGATGCCCTGCGAAGATCGCGAAGCATCAAAATTCAAAAATTTCGACGTGCCTCTTGACGGTGTGTTGCGGTTTAGGAAGGCCCTGTAGCAGCACGACTCCTGCAGGCATCGTTTCTGAGGGTGGCAACACTCCTCTTGGTGCTGTTTCTTACGGCGATTCAATCTTTCTGACGAGTCTGAGTCTCAGAAATGCACTCAACGCCAGCCACAGGCTGGCCACTTTAGCAGTATGCATAGCACACTGCCCGCGCATGCGAGCATCCAGGAGACAGGACGACCCTCGAAGCAGCGACTGTTCCTTTGTTGGTGCGTGCCATACGACATTGTCGTGATGTCAATCCGTTTCGTGAGCCGCTTGCTGCGGAGTGTGATAAGGCTTCTGTACCGTCTTTGGCCTTCTGGAAAGGGCCTTCAGACGAAGAGCGTTCGATCCATGCCGACAGCTTGGGTGGATCGTCAAAGCACGTTCCAGATACAGCTGCAACTGTTGTGATCAGGTCAGGACTGGCCTGGAGACAGCCATGGGCGTCGGTTCAGATCTTGTCTGAAACATTTTTGTGGAGCACATCACTACGAGGGACTGCTGCGCTTAGTGCACTTAGGCCTGGACTGGGGACGTTCTGTGGCGCTTGGCCATTCCTGCATGTTTGCGGGGTACTTCAAGAGTATGCAGTTGAAACAGCTCCAGGTCATCGCAAGGATGTTCGCGTGACCCGAGCCGAGCTGACAGGAGAGTCGAGGGCTTCAGAGTGCACATCGCACCAATTTCGGAGGTATACCTTGAGCCGCCAGAACAACCGCCAGATCCGCTTCAGTATCGGCCCTAAGTTGCTTGAGGTGAATTGTAGCAAGTTGTAGCTGCTGCAGCTTCTTCTTGCAAGACGTGTTTGGTCGCCTCGAGGCTCGGGGAGGACAGCCTGGACGTTGCTGCAGCGTGTCAACTGGCCACCGGCTTTTGGACCGGTGAAAACACTGGGTCGGGCTCTTATGATGCTTCCAAATGCCGTCGACATCACTTCTTGAATCTTCCAGGTGCGCTCTCCGCACCAAATCGCAGACAATTGGAGGTTAAAGATCTTCCTTCACCAAAGCAGAGACAGGAAAGGTTTGAGGATTTAGGGCAAGGTCCAAGCAGCTTGGGCATGGCCGTGATGTGATGTTGGTGTTGAAGGCAGTGTTGTGGATGCTTGTTTTAGCACGCCACCGAGCCAAACAAAGCAAGGAGCACAACATGCATATGGTCGCACGGAGCCCACTCGCGCGTACTAGTTTTCAGCATGTCGTTGGTCTCACTGAATGATATGAATGGCGACTGCATGGCCGGCCGCGCATGACTGTTATGTGTTGGCCGCGCATGACTGTTATGTGTTGGCCGCGCATGATTGTTATATGTTTTGTCACCTTATTGTGCTGCGCGATTTTTCTTGTTTTGTTGAATGAAGAAGAATGCTTCAAGTGCTAATTTTGGGTTGCAGCCAAAGGTTCGCAACTTTGACTGGCACTCCCTAACCAACACTGTCCTGGGTGAGCATGCCGGTGGAAAGAACGGACCCGCAAGAACTGCTTGAGAGGGGAACAGCAGAAGAACAACAAGTGCGGGGTTCCCACAAGCGTCTCCCGCAATCCAGTCCGCCAATGCTGGGTACTGTTGTTTCCGACCAATTCGTGAAGTGAAAGGAGAAAAACAACTAACAAGAATTTCGCGGAGCGCGGCCATGACCAGGTCTCTGCTTGGCTTGGACACTGGAAGCTGCTGGACGTATGCATCTGGCAAGGTGCGAACATGAGCTTTGGTGTTGTGTGCTGTGCAGAGTTCCATGCAAGTTCAGCTACGTGATTGGTCAGGTTGTTGTTGTCACACCTCGAACGGGACATGTGCTACTGAAGGCCCCGCCATCGATGTGCGACGTATTTCTGTGTCTCCGTTCTCTGAAGATATGTGGCGCTGGCGACGGTGTCCTGCCCGCTGTCAATGCGGCAGATGGCAAGGCCTCCGGGATGACCAGCATCACGACGGCTTACTGTATTTCGTGCTACTAGCTCATTGCCAGGCATCACAGAACGGAACTCTGTTACGGATATCATGTGGATGCCTGAAATGTCTTCAAGAAACTTGCCGTCCTTTTTGGCTGTCGATTCCCTTTCAACCGAATGTGCACAGAACGTCTGACAAAGAACAGCTAAAGCGAATCTCAAGCTTCTTGCACCTAAAGCCGTGATTTTTCTCGTGCTAGGGCAAGGAGCAGCCTGTTCGAAGAAGAGGGAGCAAAAGACATTTCAGCAAGCACGGCCCATCTAGTCATAGCGAATACGCGGGGCGCTGGTGATGTGCCGAAGCTTCGCCAATAAGCCGTTTTTTCTGAGCAAGATATATACCAGCTCTTGCAGGCGGCCGCACGGCCTGCAGTCATGGTCGATGGTCTTTCGTCTGGCAATTGGCTGTCTGAGCTGAAGGTGTGGGTTGCAGCTGCTGAGGTGGGTGATGGAGTCACTTTGATGCGAAGTGCACAAGTTCCCTAACATGCCACCGGCTTGAGAAGGCTGGCGAGCCGACCTTGGACAACTTGGGCATGCAGATCGCAATAACGACAAGTCCATATCCCGGCACTCCTGGGAAGCCGCGATTGTCAGCCGCTCAGCTGCAGAAGTTGTCCCTGCAGAGGTCCTGAGACGCTCTCCGTGTGGCGCCAGTCGCTGAAGGGCCAGGCCAAGAGACTCAGCAGGCTTTTTTCTTCTTTTCGGATCATGGAAGGAAGCACCCGGGACATCGGGGCTGGACTGGCTGGAGGTCCAGTCGCTAAGTCTGCCTTCACAACCTGGTCCTCAGCCTAAGCCAGGCTGGAGACCAAGCGGATGATTTCCTTCCTGTTGCCGCTCTGCTGTCGGGGCCTCGGCTTGTGAGGCGGCCTTGTGAGGCTTTTGTTTGTGCACCCAGAGGTCGGCACTGACGGGGGATGAGCTCCTGCCTCGGTCTCCCTTTCTCTTACTCAACTGAGCCGCGTTGCAGACAAGGGCCGCTAGTGTAGACAGTCGTCTTAGTATTCCGCATCCCGAACGGCGTACTTTTGCATTGCATCGCTCCGATTGAATTGCAGATTGTGTGTGTCGCATTGTGTCGCAATAGATGGCACCAGTTGTCACCTTGCTTGAAAGCCTTTGAACGTGCCAGATTTTTTGTCCTCGGTGTGGTCTAGTGGACGAGATTTTGGACGTTCAGATTCAGTTTGACCTTAAGCTCGAGCCGGAAGACCTGAAGCCCAAAATCCTAAAACATAGACGGTACACCCAGCCATCCGCTTCTGTGCTCCAGCTTCAGGACTCCTGTGCAGAATTTCGCTGAGGTTCATTTATATCTGTGCCTGCCTGGCCGCTTCGAGACTTTCCATGCCCAAAATCCCGCCTGGTGGTTAACATCTCGTACCACGACCTCGTTGGAGTCTTGACAATGGTCCAGCACGCATTGACATCTTCATTTGGTTGTAGTCAAGATATCCGAAGAGGATGTATGTTGTTTCGTCCTTCATTGGCCGGGGTGCTGGCCGGCCCTGACCCAACCCTCAACCCAGCTGAAGACAAAGGCAAGCCAAGCCAACCAACTTTTCAGACTGGTGCGGTCATATTCTCAAGTTCAATCGAATCTCGAGTCTGTTGTGGATATTTTCTTTCTGACTCCGTGCCAACTTACCAAAATTATTTTGGCGCACGATAAGTGCCGTGCGAAGAACCTTCTATCACAGGTTTATTGAGATGACGAGTATCTGGCTATGTTGACATATAAGTCAAGAAGAACCATAACTCCCTGTCAGATGCATTTTCCAAAATCCGACTTAGTATCTTGGATCATCTCTTTCAACACCCTGAATCGTTGGAGACTCCAGCCACCTTGATGCCATCTGCGACATACCGACATACAAGCCGCCCCAATCGAGTCGACCGACCCTGAATCATGTGTAGGAGGCCCCAGGCCGCTACGTTTGAGCTTACTTGCGCCTCCCGTTTACTCATACATACACCGTGATTTCTACGGGATCCCACAGCCCCCTCGGCTGGACAAGAACATGGTGCTCATTCTGTTGATGGTTGGACAACGCTCACTCTGTGTACAGAAACGTTCACCACGTCGGGAGACAAATCTGCACTTCGGGTTCAATTCGTAAACAAACCCAGCCGGAAAGGCGCCCCTGACCGCTTGCACCCCCTGCCAAATGTCAGCAAGACTTTTCATGATAACTGGATGGGACCTGAACGGACTGGGAACTGCGGAAGAGTTTGTCACAGATAAGGCCTTGGGAATTGCAATCGTGGCTAACTCGTAGCGAAGCAATACCATGCAAAGTTCAAGTTCCCCAACAGCTTGCCCCCATGCAAATTGTAGCTCCTGGAAGGGTTTAGCTCGTGTTGGCATCGAAGGCAGATGGTGCGAACATTGTCCAATACTGTTTACAGATCTGTCTAAAACTCGTGAGTCGTGGCGTGCATGTCCCGTGCTCAGGGGGCAGGATGTCTTGGAAGCCACGCTAAACTCTGGCACGGCACTTAGACGGAGACTGACGTGTTGACCTTCACGGAGATTTGATATCAGGGTGAGGGCACGGGAGCGAGCCTTCAGCTTCAAATAGCAGATGTGAATGTTTCAGATGTGGACACGCAGATGCGAAGCGTAGAAGCAATGGAAGTCCGAGTCCACATGTCCAGATCGTATGGTAACAATGGTCGCAAAAGTTTATCGATTCCTCCATGCTTGACATTGCAGGCAGAATTACATCACGGCCTTGGTCGGAAAGCTACCAGTGCGTGCTGCACGGTATGGCTTGCACCCAGTCTTCGGCCGATCTCCGTCAGTGTAGTACAATCGCCAGGTGCTCGTGACAGGCTTACCGGGCTCCGGCGCTATGGATCTTGCGAAAGCGCTCTCGAAGGCCAGGTCGTACACAACTCATCTTCATCTGTCATCGGATTGCAAACTGTTGTACGAGTGCTGTAGAGCAAGTGATCCTGATGCGAGGAAACACACAACAGTACCTCCGTGTCGCGGGGGGTGCCAGGGATGCATACTGGACTAGCAGCTAGCACCAACTGTGAAGCGAGTTGTGACGCCGGGGTTTCGAGTCCTCGTATAGTGTTTATCCCGCGAGCATCGCAACGGCAAGTCCTGACCGCAGCTGTTCGACTCATGCATATCCGGTCCGTTACAGATGGTGCACTAGCTTTTTCTCAGGCCGTCGACGGCTTGATGCCGAGCCTCTACCGTGACCAGGGCCTACCTCCGCTGGTGCGTGTTGCTGTCAGCCCTGACAAGTGGCAGCGGTTTCGCTCCGCACTGTCTCCACCACCTCTAGTTGTCCCAAAGGCTGCTTCTTGGTGTCCGTCCGGAATCGTGGTGCAGACTCCCTTGATTCCCTTCCGCTGCGCTTTCCGGGACAAGGCAACATCGTGCTTGGATTTCCGTGCGAATGCCCGCTGACTCCGATCGGAATCTGTCTAAGGAGTCCAAAGCGGTCCTGATAATGTGGACTATCTGCCTGGCCTTTGATGTTCGCTTCCGCTCGCAACTCTCATGCATTGCGAAGCTTTCACTGATGCGTGCACCGATGCTGGACACGCGGGCATTGGAGGTTTTGTCTCCCTCTCGTTTCGCGCCGAACTCTCCCCGGCTCTTCTGCACGAGCTCTTTTCTTGGTTCCCGCCAGATTCGTCCCCTCAGAAGTTTATCGCGGCTTGGGAGTTGCTTGGGCAGCTTGCTCTTCTTTGGTGCATCGCCCTTTTCGTTCCCGACGCTCACCATCCGGTTCATGTCATTAGCCGCTGAGACAACATTCCTTCAGATTCCGCCTCTCGGAAGGGCCTCTCCACCGCAAGGGGACTCTGCCAGCTGCTTGAAATTTACTTTCACTGGCAGCACGACTTTTGCATCTCGACTTATATCGATCACGTCCCGAGCTTGGGCAACATTATTTCCGATGGTCTCAACCGTAATCGCGACCCCTCGTCTCTGGGGCTCCGTCCCGAAGACGAAGTGGAGATTCCCTGGAAGCTCATTTCTGCGCTCCCCCCGTTTTGGCACATGACTTTGGCCGTGCACCCTTACTTGGGACCGACCGGACGTCCGAATACCTGCCTGTGGCTTTGACTTTTTGGAAATCCGGCCCGATACCGGTCACGGAATCCAGATCCCGAGATACGGTTTTCAGCCAACGGAATAAGGTGCATGCGTCCGCTGCTTCTGTTCCGTTTCTTAACCGCTCCGCACGTAACGGATTAGTGCTCGCGGATGAACGGGGTTTCGAGTCTTCGTGTAGTTTTTATCCTGCGAGCATCGCAACGGCAAGTCCTGACCGCAGCCGTTCGACTCATGCGTATCCGCTCCGTTACAGACGTTGCGCTAGCTTTTTCTCCTGCCATGTCCGGTTTCCGGCTTTACTTGGGGCCGACCGGATATCCGAATACCTGCCAGTAGCTACAAATTTTTGGAAATCCGGCCCATACCGGTCACCAGAATCCAGATCGCGAGCTACGGTTTTCAGCCAACAGAAAAAGGTGCATCCGCTGCTTCTGTTCCGTTTCTTCCCCTTCCGGACGTAACGGATTAGTGCTCGCGGATGAACAACTCGTGAAATTGCAGTGATACTGAACGTAACAAACATCTACGACTGTGGCGTTGTTCTGGTTGATGAGCCTCGCTGTTAATACTATGGATGCAGCTGAATGTGAGTGAATGCACGAGAGCACGTGCCGACATGTCAGTTTGGATATGGCAAGTATCGGATTCTCCCACGTTCAAGATGCTTGGTCTGCTAAGTCGTGCTTGGCAGAGCTGCGTGTTCATGGTAACCTCCATGGCGGCCGACTGTGGTAGCAGCCATGGTAGCATCTTGGTCGACATCTAGTTTCGAAAAGGGTACATACACAGTTCGGATGCCTCAAACTACACGAGTGTTGGATGACACTGCCGACTTCGCTAAAAGACCTCGGTGACCCAACCAAAGATGTAAGATTTTGTTTTTTCACGTCGCCTCTCGCTGACTCAAACAAAGCGAAAGACTGAGCACATATTGCATTCCCTCCCACATGGATGCATGACGAATGCAGATGAATTCCACGTCTGAAGCTGCAGAGTGATTTCAATACGCGATGAGCGCATGGTAATCTTCTGTTTGCCCATTGCTAGCAAAAGTTGTTACTTGTTGGGCCGACAGGTGATGCGAGCACCCCTTCTTGACATGGCCGCGATGTGGGACAGCGCAAGCTTCATCCTCAGGGCTTGTCAATCAGTCATAATCAGTCCAGATTTGGCGAAGAACAGTTCAGCTACGACAGCCGCCGGAAAGAGACCCAAGTCCAACCAGCGAAGACCTGGCCAACTCCTTGCGCTCACACGGACTTATTAGACTTCTCAGATTCACAACTTCCAATTCCCAACAGCTATGGGCTATGGGGGCGCAATGGCGTAGTCCTTATGGGACAACAACAGCTGTTCTATCGAGGGGCGGACAATTCACCAATTTTTGAGAGTGTCGCACTATTTTTACTGGCGTGCAAGGTCTTGCCGGAAGCTGTCTGATTGCATGCCTATGAAAATTCTGCACAAGTCTCAGGCTCTGGTTCGAGGGTGTTCGGCTTGCGCGATTGGCACGTGTCTCAGGATTTCTCCGCCCCCAAAACTGATTTGTGTAATTTAGTCATGCCTGCTCAAGGCTGCAGGCAAATGCCCAAGAATGGGCTGTGCTTTGTGACGTCATGCAGGAGTCTGCACACTGACGCACTTGCAGTCCCCCGACATGTTAGCAGTTGTTACATAGAATTCTCGCTCTGCAATCAAAATTGCCATTGGTGGAGCAGGAGATGATTTTCCTTTGAGGTGAACTGTTGATGAGCAGACCGCGAATCTGCGCATTGTCCGGTTGTGGAAGTGGCCAGGATCCTGCTGAACTGCTGCAGCTGTGTGAGTCTCAAGGACGCCTCGATGCATTGCAATCGTTGTCCGTTGTTGGGTGCTGTCAGCTGTACCAGGACTCAGCATCATAAGCCACGTTGCATGATTCTCAGATGAATTGACAGAGTCAATCGAAGCTGTTCTGTGGAGTCATTCTTGCATATTCTTGCATTGTAAGCACGAAGCAAGACGTGGGCATGTTTCCATTCAAGATCATTCAAGGTCTCTGTCCTGGAGCCCTTCGTTGCATACCCTTGGGGTGCCGCATGGAGCTAAGTCCATTTGGAGCACGTGAATGAGGGTTCTTCCAAGTAATGGGCACGTCTAGGTCCCTGAGGAAAGAGAACTTTGCTATGGTAAAACGTCAATATCTTATGTAAAACAGCACCATGGGCCAATGATTACTTGTTGCGGAAGAGGCCCGCCACCCGTTGCTGCTAAGCCGCACAGCCAGTGGCTGGGTCGACGCTGCTTTCGTCCAGGCAGGGCCCAGGAAGGCTGTGCCCCGGCGACCTGCACCGTCGCGCAGGATGGCCTGGTGAAGAACGGCAAGAGTTCGCAGGAGCATCATGAGCTTTGCGCCGCGCACTCAGAATCCACGCAATTTGCCTTCAAGTGGCCGTGAGAGGGTGGTGGTGTCACGCTGTAAACGCACGTCTGAGTCTCTGCTCCTCAAAGAGATGCACTCGAGCCGCGGTGGCGAGCAGGCCGCAGGGAGTCTGATAGTTTGTCCTGGCACTTGGGACGGTTTGTAGATAGATGCGTTTGCAGCTAGAGCTTTGGATGGACGGGTATAGACGATATGCAGAAAGGGAATTGCACATCTAGGGAAGGCTGTCCGACGAGATCCAAAAAATGTGGAATGATAGCGCAAAGCGCGGCGCTGACATGCAGGGCTCTCCAACATGCAGCAGTATGATGGTCCTGTCTGCCCACGCCAGCTTGAACCTCCGAGTAAATAACAAATATGAAAGGAAAACACATATGTATGTCAATATATGGTAATGTATGTAATGTATGTATGTATGTACGTAGGTATGTATGTATGTATGTATGTATGTATGTATGTATCATATATATATATACACATACCATGTATAGTGGTATATAGCATGAGTAGGGAGTAAACAGTAAAGAGTACGGAGGTGTATATTTATGTGCAAATGTATATATGAATAGTTATGCGTGTAAAGAATTGTCTCAATAGATATGTCAATATTAATAAATGAAGAGTGCACGGCTAACAATACCAGAGCTCAGATTGCTTCATTAGCATCTCGGAGGGCCTTCCGTGAGGGTCGTGCTGTTTTGAAAACGGCGCAAGCCTCATGAAACTTCTATGTCTCCAAGACCTCTTCTGATTTCGGGAAGCCTTCTCGTCCAGCTGACCGGGCCATCATCCACTCGTCTGTGGGCTCCCGGGCAGTTCTCTGCTATTCAATTGAAACCTGGCTTGATTCGCTCAGCCAATCCCATGGCTATCCGTGTCAGCTCGATGCTCGTATACCGGAGACATGATGTAAATCACCAGGAGATGATCTTCTCATAATGCTGTCTGGAATATGCATAGCGTGGCTGTGTCGTGTGAGCATCAGCTTTGCATGCGACATGGATGACCAAATCCGCGAAGCATGACCATAGTGGAGGCGAGCATGAGACCGCTGACTGGTGACATCATTGAGGTGCCTTCTCATACACCTTGAGATGCAACAAGTTTTGCGAGCATAGCGCTAGGGTGCATTGAGACGAAGTCCATCGCCGCTTGCACGATTCCTGTCCCGGCCGTGACCTTACTTGCATATCAAGTGCTGCCACATGTCATTGATCGGCACATGTCATTGATCAGCTTTCTGTGCCTCAGAATGTGGAAGACCATGAATTGGTTGGCTTGGGCTCAAGGTGCCGTTTTGATTCTTATCCGCTGTGCCATGTCGTGCACCACTTCTGGGCTGGAGTTCGCTCGGAGGCAGCTGTCTGCGATTTCTGTTTTGACGGGATTGGGATTGCCGAGATCTATGATAGATGCTTGGAGCAGCTTCGTCATGCATTGCCATGCATTGCTGACTTTGCACAGCTAGGTGGACCGTTCAGAAGCTGCAGAACTCCTGCCTTTGCTTGATCTGCTTACCAGCATCCAGTGCGACAGTATGGTACCAATGGCCTCGGGAGTGATGGCGCCTCGTGGCACCACGGCTCTGACGATGCATGATCGGGAGGTGGTCTCCATCATCTTGCGCTCTTCTCCCGAGCTTCGTGCTGCAGCAGCTCTTAGCCGGGTTGTGGCATCTGTGGGCGAGGGCCTCTCGAGTAGTTCAGAAATTTCGCATGCGAGTCGGTCATGTGTCTTGGCTAGCTGCTTGGCTCGATGGCTTCAGCAGCCAGCTTCTGGGACCGGAACTGTTGCAACTTAGGGGCTTGTCGGAGATCGCGCCCGCGTGTGTTCGAGCCCGTCCCTGGCTCGGCAGCACGGAGCCTTGATGCAGCGAGTCTTTTTCTCTGCAGCATTGGCGGCCACTGCACAATCAAAGAGGGCCAATGCGCTTGAAGAAGTGGATTTGGAGGTTTTGCCAACACAACTGTGGGTCCCATGGAGTCTCCTCGTGTGGCGGGGGCCTTGGTTAGGAGTGGGAGGTAGTGACGTTCCCATACCAAATTTTGCAGATCGCTCGGGTGCCATTTTTTCTCGAGATTGCATATTCCGGTCGGACCATATGCCAAGGCATTGATCAGAGATTGCATCAGCTCCATAAAGCGGGGACTTGGCCCCTCCACCTTGAAGGACTTATTTGATGTCAGCGCCTTGGGGCCTCACGTGGTGCCGGGCTCAGAATTTGAGCTGTTCTCTCGGGATCATCTTCCTTCTGTCATTAATGCACTTCTTGTGGCAAGCTACTTTTGCATGAGAGAGCTTGAGATAGCGGCGGCCGCTCCAACCATCTGTACTTCAGAGACGGATTGGTGCACTTTGTTGTTACTTGTTCATACGACGGCTACATCTGCAGTTTGACTGAGTGGAGTTTAGCTGTTCGTGCGAGAACAGCCTCTTTGTCCCTACCATGCAGCACCGAGACAGTTGCAGAGGCTAGAGATTCTGCAGGCATCATCGAATCATCGGATGCCCCTTCGATTCCGTTGTTCCCTGGTGTCGCCGGCGAGGTTCTTGCAAGGGTCAGATGGTCGCCAACATTCGCAACACGCTCAGCAGGCTGGCAGACGAGTCTGGTCAGATGATTGAGAGATTCGGGGGCCTCGTTCTTCGGGTTTCTGGAACTCAGCACCTCTACCTGCTGGGTCTGGGCTGGACTTGGTTCAGTTGCACGGTCGCTGGTCGTCGGTTGTCATCCAGAGATACCTGCAGCTCCTTTGTTGCGAGTGCCCAGGCAGTTTCGCAGGCACTTTCATCTGGAAGCCAGGCTTTGCGTGCAGCTGCGAGTCATCCCAGCATCTTGGGCCAGGTGAATCAGGACGTGGCGATGCCAGGTTCGGATGATGGCCCAGCGGTTTCCTGCGCACCACCCGTCAGAGCTGCTGAGCAGGAAGATCAGGTCGCTTTGCGTCTGCAGTTCCACAACTTCGTGGACGTGATGGATCCAGGGGAGTCTCTGGTTGTGAACACAGGACGCGCAAGGCTCAAAAGCCGGGCACTCAACCCGGCCACTTGGGCCACTTCATGTGGCATCCTTTGTGGCGATGCCAGATTTTTCCGCACGAGGTGCGACAGGCCGGAGTGGGCTTGATGTAAGAAGTGCTTCTCGCCTGCTGGTGTGCAGTTCGGTGGGAGGAGGATGAGGACGTTCGAGCTCCCGAGGCTCGTCCTCCTCTTCAGGCAGTTCGTCTTCCTAGGCACTCGCGCTGAGGTTTGTGTGAAGCCTTCCGGGGCCTCCGCGCAATTGGGGCAAGGTCTTCTAGGTCGTTGGTCGTGTCGGGGGTTTCTTTGTGCCACTCCTCGTTGATTCATTGACCTGGCAGGACCTCGGCTGCGGCTTTCTGGTTGCATCGCCGCTCCGAGTTCCAAGACTGATGGTGGTAGCGTCGCTGCAGATGCCGTCAGGGATCATTGACCTGCAGGAGGTCGGCTAAACTGGTCGGTGGGTGCCAGGCGATTCGGCGACGAGGCTCGGGACCAGCGCGCGAGCTGACTCTTGAGATTTTGCTCCGAACTATTTAGAGTGTTCAGACACGTCGTTGCCTGCCACGCTTGAAGCCACATGTTGATTTTGAAGAGATCGCTAGGAAGGCTGGAGCTGGCGATGATATCAGACGATATCTGCAGGTTCAGGGGGGTGACCAGTTCCGGCACCTTAGCGATGCTAGCTGCAAGATAGCTGCAGACGAAGACAGCTACAGGACTGAAGAGTAGAGCTGAAGCTGTAAAAATCACCGAGGCAGCTAAGCCGATCGCAGCGGGTGCTGCTTTACATGAGGCAGTGGGCGGTCAAGGATCAGGTCCCTCGACCTTCTGCCCCAGTGCCTTCAGCTCCCATTGCAGGTAGTTTCTTCGACCGCCAGTATAGCAGGTGCGGAGGACAAGGTTCCCTGGACATGGCCTTCTGTGGTGTCGGTGGGTATCAACGGCCGCAGCCGCTCCTTCCCTCAGCAGTTTGTGCTGCTAGGATCCCTGGCAAAGCTTTGGCATCAGCTGAAAGTCAGCCGCAATTTCGCCAAGCTGCCGCTGGCGGGAGATCAGAGCTTTGGTGCGATTGGTGCCGTGAAGGCCTTATCCAAGTGCAAGCAGAAGAATGAGCTTGTGGTTGACGTGGACCGCTTCAAACTCGTCACGAGGATAGCTGGGAGCTTCGTTCTATGTGCTGCTTGAGTGGGGCCATGAGTTTGACGTGGGTGAGCTTTAGGCGTGGTCTTCACAGGCCCAACCTGCAGGTTGTTCGTGATGACGTGAATCTGCCAGGAGCATATGCTTCGCTCAGGCCTCTCCCGCCAAGGCCGGTGCCAGTCGCAAGAGGACGCTCTCGGGGGAGTTGGGGGGGGGGGGGGGGGCAAGGGTGATGGAAAGCGGTTGCAACAGTGGTTGGAGTCATGAGTCCTGACAACAATGGCTGGTGCGGGTGGTTCCGCATTTACTCCGCCTCACCCTCCTAAGCCATGGCAAGGCCTACGTCTTGCCCTCTCCGAAGGTTCGGATGTTCTCACGACGTCGACGGCATCCTTTTCTATAAGGGCCCAGCACCGGGTGGGCCTTCTCATGGCTCCCCAATGGCGAGCCATCCGGACGATGTTGAGACCCTGTCACGCGACTGTTGTCCGTTTTCTCTGGGAGGAAGTGTGCGCTTATGCGGCTCACCAAGGCGATCCGATGCACTTTTCAATGGCAAATCGATGCGGCGGCGATCCGCGTCTCCAAGCGTGCCACGAGGAAACTGGTGGGAACCTGAAGTGGAACGACCTCGACTCGGTCGCAGCGGCGGTCAATAAGTCCGTTCGCGGCGGTGCAAATGGTGTTTGGCTTATCGCTGCAGCGGCTCCCTAGTAAGCTGAATTCTTCTGCAGGCAGGCATCAGCGTGAATTAGGTGACCTGTTTGTGCATTTCACTAGTCTCCTGCAGAAGCTGCTCGCTCACTTCCCTAACCGGAGAGCCTGTCTTTTGGCCGAGAATGTGACGATGCAGAATGCAGCGGATGTTCGGTTCTTTTCGAGAGTGCTTCGAGCTGAGCCGGTGATGGTGATGGTCGATGCGAGCGACTATAAGGCAATAAGTCGCCCGAGATTGTCGTGGCCATGGATTCCCTGGCCGGAGGTTCACGCGCACATACTTGGGGTCTTCGGAGAAGCTTCGACGGAAGAAGCTCCCCAACAAGTTGGCCCAGCTGCATCTGCCAGTGCAGCCGGACTGCATCGCGGACTTGCAGCAGGATTGCTATTTCACTCCGCGGTGCGGTCCGGGAGCTGCCTTGGCCTTGACCGCTGAGGGCAGGGAAGCACCAAAAGGATGAACGGATAGCCACCTCTGCACGGGCAACGGCTCAGCCTCGGCAACCTGCAACGCCGAGGAAAGATCATGCACTCGTGCCTCTGTGGCCAAAAGGGCCTGGCAACATAACCACGCCATGCTTCAAAGCAAAATCGAGCATATGCTGGGCCACTCCCATGTGACAGCTGTTGCCAAGAAGGCGATGACCATCCTTCTCAGACAAGGAGGGGCTCAACGAGAAGCCACGGTCAAAGTGACGCAGGGCCTGTTTGTTTTCAATCAGGAGCTTGTGCAATTTGCCACAGCCGTCTGTGAGCATTTCCGTTGGTCATAGAACCAGGGAGCATATTGACGCCGATCTTCGAGACAACGGGTGCATGTTGGCGTGTCGATTTTTGGCTGACTGCGACTCGCTGGACGAGGCTCTGACTTTGGGTTGTCCAGTGACTGGTGATCGCACACCGATTGGATGACAAGTGCCAACTTCCCATCTCTCGTGATGTGTTCTTGACTTGAACCGGGGATACAAGCTTCGGAAGGGCCGTGTGGACCCGGAGTGGCAAGCGATGCTTTCAGAGATATTGGATGAAGTTGGAGTGGGCCGGATGTGTGCCCCATGTGAGGCTCCAGCTGACTGGCCGCACAGGTGGTTTTCAACACAGTTTGCGACTTCGTTTCGATGAAGTCCTCGGCCACCCCAAGTCCGGAGTGATGGCGCCAAGAAGGTGCGCCGGTGCGAGGAGGATTACCGCAGGAGCCATCATAATTCCACGATCGGCGTCAGTGACATTCCCGTGCATGATACCGTTCATACACATGTTACGTGGATGACATAAGCGACCCTGACGCTGCTTTCAGCTCCACTTCAGGCTTCTGGGCCTTTTCCGAGTTGTGCGAGGTTCTTGGGATGCGGTTGAAACCTAGCAAGGCTCAGCCTCCCGCGACCAAGCATAAATTGCTCGGAGTGCCATTCCCTGAACGACTTGCTAAGGTTATCGCCACGATCCGACAGGCATTGAACACTGATTGTTTGACGCCGGAGACTGCTCAGAAATTGGCGGGTAAGCTCAACTTCCTCCAGACTACTTTGTTTGGGCAGGTGGGTGCTTCTGCTTTTGCCTTGCAGCCATTGTATGCCAGGGGCATGCTATTCAGGGCGATGCCTCAGTCAGCTTGAACACCGCATTGCGATGCTCACTTGTGTTTTCGATTCGTTTGCTGAACGAATCTCGGCCACGCTGGTTTCCCTTCGACTCTAGCTCGGAGCCTAGGGCGGTTCTGTATTCGACCGGGGCGACTCTTCATATAGTCTCTCGGACGAGCCCCCGACATTCTGGAATGCGTGGGCTTGCTGCCAGTGTCGCAACGGTAGGGATTCGCTGCGCAAACGGCTCAGGGAGTTCGCTATGGCTTTGGTTCCGTTCCTGCGCAGGTCTTGTTGTTCTTGTTTTGTCGTAGATATATGCTTTGGAGATCGTGGCGCAGATCGTGGCAGCCAGTACTTGCCACGATGTATTGTGCCCTTACTGGATTTGCTTTTGCGACAACACTGCTGGCCGAGCTGCTCTGGCTAAGAGTTAGGGCCCGTGAGATGACCATCAACAACCTTGTTGTTTTTTTCCGCTTTTGAAGGGTTCGCAGCCACATTTCCAGTGGGTTCCTAGTGAGCTTAACATATCCGACCCTTTTTCTAGCCGGGCGCGCGGCTGGTCCGAATTGCAGTCGATCTGGATGATTTGTGGCGCATCTTCATTCGTGCATCTCGCGACTTCGACTTTGCGGTGCATGTCGCCCCGCGGCTTGTTTTGGGCTTTCTTGCACATTTGGTTAGGGCTTCCGCTGCTGGACCTCAACACCTGGTGGGCTTTGGGCTGTGACGACGTGGCAACTTACAGGACTTTGCTGCCCGGGTGTCGACCCTCAGCATGCACGGATTCGATGTGCACTTCGACATCCACCTGAAGGGTGAAAAAGTGAAAAAACGCAGTAGCAGTCGGCCAGAGTAGGCTCATGCTTCGGGCCGTCGAGCTTTGTCCACGTTTGCAAAAGGATTGCAATACAGCGCAAGCAAGGTAGGACAGCGGAAGACGAGGGGCAGGAGGAAGGAATCAGCCAACAAAGGAAGAGCAGTTGTGCGCAGACACGATTGCACAAGTTTGAAGTATCGAGCGGAAAGCCTGATGCCATGATGTTGTCGGAAAAAGCACCTTCCCAGGATGCAGACACGGGCGTGTTGCCAGGCCAACCTAGAACTAGACCCATCTCTTCGACGAAATTGCACGGCGTAGTGGAACCGGAATAGAAGTCGAACGTAGACTGGACGGTTTGATGACTGCTTCGGTGGGAATTTTGATGCTGGGGCTGAAGTCTTCGCAGACGGAACGAGCCATCAAAGGAATTGTTGGTTTTCGAGCATCACCACATTGCGGACAGCCCGAATTGGCGTTTGCCTATCCCTCCAAGTTTTGTTGGCAATTTTTCAAGCTTGAAGCAATGACATGGGGCAAAGGAGCGCTTCATTTCTGCAGTCGGGTGACTTCTGTTGCCCAAGATGGTGGGAGATAGCAGGGGACGCGCAAGTGTTTCAATGTGGTTGTTGACAAGTATGCGACGGAAGCTGCTTATAGTCATGCCATTTCACTGCGTTCCACCCTGGTCAATAGTTTGGGGGCCACCCCACGGTCAAGATACTAGGCGGATTTGATCTTTGTGCAAAGTCCAGTCCATCACAAAAAGGCTGACATGGTGCCGGCTTTGTTTGCCTGGATGGGCATTATTAGATGACTTTTGCTTTGTTCAAAGCTAGTAGCTTGGCAACAAGCAAGCAATAAGCCAAGTTTCAGCAGGCATTGGTCACGGTGTCAACCGTCTATCAGGATCACACATCTTAGCATCTTTGTATATTGGGCCTTACATGACCAGCCTTCACTTGCATGCCACCACCTAAACAGCAGGAACACCGTGCATAAGACGAAGAAAAATACCAAAAACTGTTTCAATGTGTGCTGACCTGATTGAATCCGGTTGTCTGGAGGCCGTATCAGGGAATATCTTCGACTCACGGCGATCTTTTCCAGCCTCAGGTCGCGAGGAGGTTTTCCCTCTTGCTTGTCCATGCTTTGTTCGACCAGGCCAATCTTTGGAAATGCTTCGTGCCAGCATCTCACGTTTTGGACTTCGAGGTGCGAACTCTATCAACGTTTGCGACACGCACATCTCTGGAACCATTTGCTATTGCGTCAGTCTCGATTCTCCAGCTGGTCTGGCTTTGCTTGATTCTGTCAACGTCCTCTGAATCGCTCTGCAATTTCTCACGTTCTTACTGCTGGGATGCTTGAGTAGATCTGTTGGCCAGTGTCTTGGCCTCTGAGCAGCCTGGCAGAGCATGCAGGCATAAGTCGGTGTTTCAAGTGGTCGTTTATAGAATTCGGAGTCTCCGCGAGATGGAATGGGATGTGCACACGGGAGCTGGTGGGTGGTGCTTGCCATTCTCCGTTCAGGTTCTCCGAAAGCTTTGCGCACAATGCCTGCGCGAAGCTGCAGAAGCCTGTGTGCCGAGTTGTTCATATCTTGTCTAATGTGCCCATCTGACAACGCTCGCATCTTCGCACGAACAAGGAGTTCATCTTGCCTCCTGAGCGTAGCTCTCATTGCGCCTCGGAGAGCAGAGAGAGGACTGAGAAGACTCTAAATGTTCTAATTCCACAGCTTGATTCTTAGGCCCTTCGGTATGGAAAGGCCTTTTCTGCATCGAGGCCAAGGTGCGAAGCTGAGCTCTGAAGCAGATGACATGCGGCGAAAGCATGCAGAGAAGGCCCGTGCCGTGGATTCTGGTGATTCTTTCTGGGTCGCGCACTTACTCGTAGCATCTTTTGGTCTAAAAAGAAACGCTGACATGCCTCTGATCTGGCGAAGTTCATGATGGGGCACAAGTCCGACTCTTGTCTGAGCTGAACCGCTTGTGTGACGTACAGTCTGACTGCTCAACTCGACATCGAACTTGTATGAGCCCGTCAAGGAAGCTATGCCCTTTGCATTCGTGGCTAATCGCTGCATTCGTGCAATCTGTGTGGGAGGCAGATGGAGCACACATTGTCACATGAGGTTATTCCTTTCTTGCAGTCTTTGGCCATAGAGTGAGGACTTCGCTTGCACAAGTGGCGACCACGTTCACCGAGGCTCAACCGGCACTGGAGCTTCAAAAGGCTGGCATTGCAGAGTGTCCATTGCAGAGTGTCCATTGCAGAGGGTCCGTAAGGCCGCCGAGGAAATGGAGATCGCAGCAGCCAAGGCTCGTTGAGCGACTGTTGCAGGGCGCGAAGTGCTGCAGCAAAAAGGACACGAGCGGGTGTGGTGTCAAGGCGCACTCCCGGATGGTGGGATACGCTTCGCAAACTTTATCAACGACCGACATTCCTGCCGGCGCGAAAATGCGTTTGGAAAAACAAGCTCAAGAAGAACCGTGGACTCTACCTCATATCCACGGTTGTGACGTTCTTGAGGGTGTTTTTGGTCGACTTCACCACTTAACAAAGGTGTATCAAAGGTACAAGAATAGAACAAGGCGCATGGAGAGGTGGAAAGCGGGTGTGTCGCGTTCTGCATCACCTGCTTACACCTCATGTTCACCTTCTGTTTACCTTTGAAATATTGTTTTTGATTGTATACGCTTCGCGTGGCCTGGACCCGGTTTTGTGGAAGCCAAAATCCAATTGTGGGGCTAAGCTGGGGGGCTTCCTGGGGAGAGGCGGGGAAAGAGGAGAGGGAACCTCTGACTGGGCTACCTGCGCTTCGGCCGGGGCCCGCGAATTTTGCATCTATTTTCAGCAAATACCGCGTCAAGAACATCACAAATCTGCGGTAATTCTCAGCAGCTTGGAGCATGCACCAGCAAGAGAGTTTTGCCAGACCGCTCGGAAGGAGTGAACGGACGGATCATGTCACCCTAGCGAGCTACACTCCCTCTTTGCCAGCTATCTTCTGCACAACACACCTGCTGACAGGGACTGGTTCTCACCCCCAAGGGTGCAGGGAGCTTAAGTCTTTTTCCAACATGCAATCTGTGCTTTGCTGACTCGTGCCAAGGAGCTGCGACTGCCGCAGCACTGGCAGGAGCCGTTGTCTTCAGACCTCGGTGCGCTTTGATCTACTGCACCCTGTTCTCTCAACAGATTCGGCTGCTCCTCAGGTGTTGTTTTTTTTGGTGGTGCCTTCTAGATGACAAGGCGAGCAACACAACATTCGGCTCGTGTCGCATTGCCGTCAATGCGATGGGGTTGACGCGCAGGCCTCGAAAGATCAATTGATCGCAGCAGCGACAGCAGAGGCGTTTTCGAGACTCGCCGAAGACTGTACACTCCAGCTCCTGGGCAGATTGCGAAATGTGGCTTGCAAGAGCCGCCCGAGGACCACTCTTTTTCCTTTCTTGCGGCCAATGCCGGAGCAAGACTTTGGAACTGTGATGTTCATCTTAGACCTCATCTCTGTGTGTCACCGACAGAAAGAAACTAATCAAACGATATGCCGGAAGTGTGTCTGTGCCCCAAGTTGTGGCATGCTCTTTGCACAGCACGCTTCCTCGAATAACAGCAGCCAGTAGTTGTTCTGCTAGTAATCTCCAGAACCAGATGTAACAGTAAGGCAAGATGCTGCTCGTTGCTGTTGAACTGCTGCACTCCACGCTTCATGCATTCGTCATCGGCTGGAAGTGCAAGCATCCTCGGGTGATGCGATCGTCTCAGTTCAGTCTTGTTGGTGCATGGATGCAGGAAATCGTCTGGGAAGTCGACACCATGCCGGTGAGCCTGCGAGCCAAAATAGAGGAAGAGGCGAAGTTCAGTTCGGTTTACGCACGATGCCCCGCCAAAAGCATGTTCTGCTGCAGGTGCGACTGGAAGGCCCACCAGACACTTCACTGCATTGAAGGGATACTTCCACTCTAACTTCTCAAATTTGACCCGTACTTGACTCACTTGGAAGTACCTGTGCACAAGAAGCACTGGCACGTGTGCCAGGACCACTTTACACTGCATTCCGCCGCTCCCATTTCGCCATGATCCAAACAACATAGCCGCTTCGCATGCTTTTGAGCACGATGTGCGACAAGTTCCTCTACCTGCTTTCTCATAATCTGAGAGATTGTAGCCAGATCGGGAACATTACCCACAGCACACTTTTGACGGGATTCCCCCTCCATAAATTCCTGTTCTACCCTTCTGTTCCAACGGTTCCCTCAAGTGCACGCGTGGTCCATGTTCCGTCTCTGCCAGACTTATCATGTCTAGGCAGTTCTGGCAGCAACGCTATTTACGCTCCAGCTCCATTTCGCTCCAGCTGCCCAGCGGTGCCAATAGTGTGATCACGGCACCAGTCCGCAACGCACGGCATCCGACGAAGCCCCTAATGGCCCTAATGCTTGCTTCCTTGAGCTTTGTTTTCTCTTCATCTTTGCTTCTTTCTGCATGACGATCACCGGCAGTACTGCTGTTCGAGCCGCATCCGGACTCTCTGCTCTCAAACTTCCTTCTCTTGTCTCTCGTCTTCTGTCCTTGCTCTCTGAGCCGTCCAAGCTCATCCAGGACATCGGTATCCTAAATGCGCTCGCATTTCTTGATGTAAGGCTTGCATTGCAGTAACACCGCTTTGTTGGTGGTAATCTTTGGATTGCGTTTCTTGAGCAATACCTTAGTCACCTCCTCCTCCTCCCCTCCCTCATCATCATCCTCCCCCTCCATCATCGTCATTATCGTCATCATCATCCTCATCATGACTCGCGGCAGAGAGACGTCTCCTGTCGTGCACGACAACACAGCTTAGGCGAGTCGGCTGCTTTGTGGCAGCTGGCACGGACGCCCTTTCGGAAACACCAGCTGTTAAACAATGTAACGTAGCGCTGTACTTTCCGTATCTTTTCTACGCTCAGATTAAACGAATACAGAATGGCTCCATGTCAAGCAGTCGATGGTGTGCACAAAAGGAGTGGTATACGTCACTTGGGTGACGACTCTGCATTTGTTGCGCATACCCTTTTGACTGGTCGCCCGTCTATCCTTCAAAGTTGTGACATGATCATCCAAGCGTGAGAAGGCCATCTCCAAGCAGATGGCTTCCAGAGCGGCTGAGTCATGTCCTTGCGGTCTGGCACTGTTTCGGTATCGGCTATGCTCGGTGCGGCTGAAGCTTGAGCTGGAGCTCGCACAAGCATCATCATCATCATCAGCGAGCAGCCTCGTTCAGGTAACCGATGTTTCTCGAGCATGTTCACTGCCTTATGCATCATGTCTTCTGCGCTTTTGCCTGACCTGTCAGCTCTGATCGCCGCTTTTTCGGCCTACAGAAGGGCCTTCTTGAGCTTCCTTACCTTTTGCGATGCTGTGAGAAACATGTGCGATTGATCGATTGACGCCATTCTTCTGTACTAGTGTTTAGTCAAGTTGGCACCGGAGCATGTGCTTTGAGCTGGCCCTCATTCCGCAGAGGTTAGCGATGGACTCTGGTGATGATGATTCCGCGAGTTCGCCGCTTGACCTGGAGGACGGGGCTTCGTCACAGACGGCTCGCCCAGGGACCTATGCCAGACCCGAGCCGGAGCCCAGATGGAGATGCTCATCCTGTGATGGCAGCGCCCTTTCTAAGGGGAGGGTTATTTATTTTAGATTTCTATTTTTTTCTCTTTCCCTTTTTTTGGCCTACCCTGTCCCCCCTGTGGTCCGGTGGTCTCCTGGCCCTCTGGTTCTTGGGTCCTCTGGTCCTCTGATCGTCTGGTCCTCTGATCTTCTGGTCCTCTGGTTCTTTGGTCCTCTGGTCTTCCGGTCCTCTGGTCCTCTAGTCCTTGTGTCCTCTGGTCCCGTCGTGACTCTGGTGTCCTCAACCATCCCATATAAACTGCTCAGTAGTTTGGATACTGACACACTCGGGCTTAAGTTGGAAGACGTTTAGTTCGCATCCTTTGCACATAATACATACATGCATTCATGCATGCTTAC